GCCAATTTATTCCAGTTTGAAGTTTAATCTAATCTGTTATCACTGTCAGCAGCCTGGTCACAAAGATTCTTTGTGTCCACTAAGAAAACCTAAAATGGTAGAGCTATGTGTGGTACCTGTCAAAGAACATGGTCAGGAACTGTCTGATAGTTTGATTCCACATAAGCATGTGGTGGAGGTAAAAGTAAATGGCAGAGCATTAAAGGCTCTAGCAGACACTGGTAGTTCACAAACTTTGGTAAAATCTTCTATGTTGAACAATGTACTGCCTGACTTTAACAGTCATGTAAACATTACCTGTGTTCATGGATGTCAGAAAGATTATCCAACTGCAGATGTTACCATAGAAGTAGAGGGCCAAGCCTTTATGTTAACTGTCGGGGTTTTAACCAGTTAGCATATGATGTAGTTCTTGGGGAAGACTTGCCAATCTTAGACAGCTTGGTTCAACAAAACTCTGTGGCATTATCTTGTGTAGTCGTTACTGGATCTATGAAAAAAGGTTTACAACCACTCCCAGATGCAGAGGACAATTTGTATGAAGGTGGGAGTAAAACCAGGAAAACAAAACGACAAAGAAGACAGGAGAAAAATAAGTACAAGTGTATGTCAAAACTTGCTGAACCTGCTTTGCCTATTACCCTACCTATTGATCGTCAGTGGCAGATCCCCAATAACTTTAAAGAGAGCCAAGAAAATGATCCATCTTTAAAACCTCTTTTACTCAAAGCACATTAAGTTGATGGTGAAGAAAATGTTGGGGGGGGGGGGGGGGGGGGGGTCAAAAGTTTAAATGGAGAACCTTTATCATGAAGGATAAACTGTTGTATCTTGCTGATATTGATGAACCCAGGCTGGTGGTGCCTGAAGAGTACCGTGCCGTAATCCTACATTTGGGTCATACTGTACCCTGGGCGGGACATCTAGGACAGGCAAAAACATACAGTCGTGTTGCTCAGCGGTTCTATTGGCCAGGAATGTACAAAGATTTTGTTGATTATTGCAAAACCCATCATGACTTTCAACTAGTTGCTCCCACCAAAGTGTCAGACAGAGCCCAACTACAAAATTTACCAATAATGGATGTACCTTACAAGAGAATAGCCATGGATGTCATCGGTCCATTACCCAAGAGCAGTAGTGGGCATAAATATGCATTAGTCATTTGTGATTATGCAACCAGATACCCAGATGTTTATCCATTACGTTCCCCTCAGGTCAAAAACATTGTCCGGTGTTTGGTAGATCTTTTTTCCAGAGTTGGCATCCCAGAGGAGATTCTAACAGATCAAGGTACTAATTTCATGTCACACTTGATCAAAACTCTATATAACCAAATAGAAAAAATGCTGGAAGTGCTGCAGGGGTGTGAGAAATCTTATCTGGTGCTCTCACTGGTGCTCTTCAGCCAAGGGATCCACATAAATGTTGGCAAAAGGAGATCTGAGGCACTCAGGAGATGCAAAAATAAAAAGCCTTTATTAGTACATGGCTTAAATTGTTAAAAACATCAATGCCAACGCGTTTCAGCCCACAGGGCCTTCGTCAGGGCTCAAAATGTTTGAATGCTCACTCACCCCCATGTTAAAAAGGCCAATCAATGACACCTGCCGAAGCTGGGCAGGTAGACTGCATTCTGATTGGATGACCAGTACAACACAAAAACTTTTTACATCTAAACAATCCTATTGTAAGGATGAATACTTACAAATATGAAATTTCACTTATAGAATTTGAGAAAAAATTATAAATATAGTACACAAATTGTAAGAAAACATGAGATTATAAATAAGGAGCTAAATCTAATTCTCCATTAAGACCTGGGAAATTAGTAGCTTTTAGTGTGTAAATCCAAAATGATTCTCTTTGCAAGAGTTTTTTAAGCCTATCTCCTCCTCTAATTGAAATTTTTATATGTTCAATCCCTGTGATTTTAAGAGAGTTACAGCTTCCATGATTTGTGTCTTTGTAATGCACTGCCATAGGGTATAGAGAGGATTACCAGATCTGATTGCTTGTTTGTGTTCTGCAAGTCTTGCTTTTAACTTACGTTTAGTTCTTCCAATATAGAAGCAACCACATGGGCATTCTAGTCTGTAGACCACAAATGAAGTATTGCAATTGATAAATGTATTAATGTAAAAAGTACGTCCTGTGAAAACATCAGCAAAACAGTTAGTGTTAGTCATGTTGTCACAGTGAACACAATTTCCACATTTATAGTTGCCTTTTCGAGTTGATAACCAGGTTTTTTGTTGCTGTGGAGGAAGGTGACTTTGAACAAGTTGATCATTTAACGTTGGGGCTCGTCTGAAGCTGATAGTAGGAGTATCTGGGAGAGCTTCCCTAAGAACACTGTCACTTTCCAGTATGTCCCAGTTTTTTGTAATTATTTTTTTGATCATGTTGGCTTTATCACTGAATTGGGTCACAAAATAAACCCTCTGGACATGCTGAGGGAGGGCTGGGTGGCTGGAGTGGCACAGGCATCCGCAGAAGTGGCTTCACCAACAAACATCGTCTCCTACATACTACAAATGAGAGACAAACTGGAAACATACAGGAAACAGGTTAAAGACCACATGCAAAAGGTACAATACAACAAAAGTTATGGTATTACAAACATGCCCGTGAAAGAGAGCTGAGGACGGGCCAGAAAGTTTTAGTACTTTTGCCTACTGGACCAAGTCAGCCATTAGCTAAATGGCAAGGACCCTACACGGTGGGTAGAAAAACGGGTCCAGTGACATATGAAATTATCCGTCCAGACAAACAAAAAGCGAAGCAAGTACTTCATGTGAATCTGTTAAAAGAATATCATGAGAGAAATGTCTCAGGACCAGCTGTGAAGCAGGTCCTGATGGTGCAAGAACTTCAACCAGAAGACAGTAGTATTTTGGAGGTTGGGGAGGAAGAGATGAGTCCATCCAGGGATACAACAAAGTCCAAAGCAGCTCCTGAGCATCTGACTGAAGAGCAGCTGCATCAGCTGAATGAGGTGAAACAATTTTTTCCATCTCTATTCTCGGACGTACCAGGCCGAACTGATGTCATAACACATAAAATCATTGTGAAAGATGCTAAACCTGTTTGTCTCAAGCCTTACAGGATTCCAGAACGAATGGTGGAACCATTGAAAAAAGAGGTTCAAACAATGCTGGAGATGGGAATGATTGAGCCATCAAGAAGTGAATGGTCAAACCCCATTGTGCTTGTTCCTAAGAAGGACTCTGCTCAACTTCGATTCTGTTCAGACTTAAGAATGCTCAACAGTATTTCCTGTTTTGACTCTTATCCCATGCCACACATTGACGAAGTGCTTGAAAGACTTGGGAAGGCCAGATACATCACTACCTTGGATTTATGTAAAGGTTACTGGCAAGTGCCTTTAGATCCATCCTGCAAAGAATACACAGCATTTCAGATTCCAGGAATGGGCCTATTCCATTACACTGTCCTACCCTTTGGTCTTCACGGGGCACCAGCTACTTTTCAAAGATTAATGGATATTATTCTTAAAGATTGCTCAAAGTATGCTGCTGCCGACCTGGATGACGTTGTTATTTACAGTGTCATGGTAGGGTCACCTACGACATCTGAAGACTGTGTTGGCAAAGATCCATAGTGCTGCTCTGACGCTGAATGTGAACAAGTGTGCCTGGGCACAGAAGGAAGTGAAGTACCTAGGTTATCTTGTTGGATATGGACAGATAAAGCCACAAGTTGAGAAGGTGAAAGCTATTCAATCAATACCCAGCCCCAAGACAAGGAAGCAAGTGAGGTCATTTTTGGGTTTGGTTGGGTGGTATAGGAGATTTATTCCACATTTCTCAACTTTGGCAGCCCCTCTAACAGAGTTGACGAAAAAGTCCAACTCCAAAGTCAGATGGAATGATGACTGTGAACTTGCTTTTCAGTCCTTAAAGAAGCAGATATGTCAAGCTCCTCTATTGCAAAGTCCTGACTTCTCCAAGCCCTTTGTTGTACAGGTGGACGCTTCGAATTTTGGCCTTGGAGCGGTACTGGCTCAGGGAGGAGCTGGTGAAGAAAAACCTGTTCTGTTCCTGAGTAAGAAGCTGTTTGATCGGGAGAAAAGGTACTCCACAGTAGAAAAGGAGGGACCAGCAATAAAGTGGGCTGTGGACTCTTTAAAATACTACTTACTTGGAAGAGAGTTTATTCTGCAAACTGATCACAGACCATTGTTGTGGATGCAGTCCAAACAACACCAGAATGCCTGAATACTGCGTTGGTGCCTGACCCTCCAGCCATATCAGCTCACCATACAGCATTGTCCAGGTAAGAAAAAACGTATGCTGACTACCTTTCACGTTTGCCTGAGATGTGTTAACCAAAAAAGGGGGGAAGTGAGTAAATGTTGAGAAGCAACATGTCTTTTTTAAACCAAAGAGTGCTCATGCAAGACTGTAATGTAATCTGTGTAACAATAGGAGAGAGGGAAATCAGTGGATCCTGAGGAAGGTGAAGTAGGTAGGGAGAGCAGAATAAGGAGAGAGTGGTGAAGAAGGTCATACAAAAGCCAGCTCGAACAGGTGAGTTTTCAGCTGCTTTTTAAAGGAGACCACTGAGTCCACTGATCTCAGGCTCAGGGGGAGAGTTCCAGAGTCTGGGTACCACAGCAGCAAGTTATTTGTCACCTTTGTTCTTTAGCCTGGTGTGCTGCACAACCAGTAGGCTTTGATCACTGGACCTCAGGGACCTGCTGGGGGTGTAGGGACTAAGAAGATCACCAATGTAAGATGGTGCTTGTCCATGTAAGGCCCTGTAGACCAGAACCAGCATCTTGAAATGAACCCAGAAGTTGACTGGCAGCCAGTGAAGCTGGAGAAGTAGCAGGTTGATGTGTGTGTGTGTGTTTGGAGTACCACCAGTAGACGGTTCGGGGAGGTTCTGCTCAGACACGTGAAAAGAGCATACATTTTTTTGCACGTGTAAAAGAAGGTGTGACGGGAAAATAAAGCAGACTTTTCACACTCCTCCCCATTCAACAAAGACTTTATTTTCAATTCAGCAAATGATTCACTGTCTTTAAAAGATTGTATTTATATCTGAAGCAAAGAAATGCTACTGATGGCAAGAAAAGTATTAAGTCAACAAAGCAACAGTCTCCAGGGATCCCTCATATGGCACAGTGAATTTACTACATTCACTGTTTAAACAATCATTAATAAATAAATACATAATGCATCACAGCAAGCAGCCAGATTTTTTTCATCAACATAGTGCATACAACATCAAAGTTGAAAACAATGATTCCTTTTAATAACTACGATGATGATGGAGAGCATTAAGCAATATAATTTACAATCAGTGCATGCTCAAAGCAAAATGACATTCATGTCCTTACCGTATTGTTTTACAGTATGTATATGTAATGCTGGGTGATGATCGCAGAAACAGTATTAATAAAAACTAAATACCACCTTGGTAAACACTATTTCAACAACAGATGAAACACTAAATTATTAAACATCATATATTGGCACAGAATTTTCATTAAATGTAAATGAAAATATATTACCTCCTGCCACCGTGTTTAAGTGTTAATATATTTAAATATTTGAGGCAAATCAACCTCAGCCAATATTAGGTCAGATATTTACATTCAAATTGTGTGAATTTTTTACACACAGAAAGAAAAAAAAACGAGGAAAAGACTAAACTAAAAATAAGTGTTCTTTTCCATTTCTGTGAGACTTTGCAAAGCATAATAAGACATTTAATAAATTAAAAATGAAACATTCAGCATAAAGATTAAAATCATGACTCCAACTTTTGATTGTAACACAAAGTATTGCCATGTCCTCTAATGTTTTGGCCTCAAATTACTTTAAAAATAGAAAAAAAAGTAAATTAGAACTGATTTTCCTCCCTATCCCATTTTTTGTCTCACATTTACTCCCTTTTCTGCATTTTTACTTTATTTGTCATCAATTTTTTACCCTTCATAAGGCACCAGTCCCAGAAAAACAGACCATTAGAGGATTCAGCAGGACTCACATTTGGCAGATGAACTCTTCAGTGCAAATCATCAAAAATAAAGCTTTTATTCATTTTTTTTACAATGGGTAAACCTGATGATGTGAAAACATAAATATAAATAAAAGTAAATATTACAGGGAGGAGTGAGGCCTTTCTCATACAAAGACTTTGTCTTTGAATGTAATGCTTCCATAGTTGTACTTCCCACTTGGAAGGTTTCCTTTTTTATATGGATACTTCATACTCCCGTGTGTCCTGTGGCATTAAAGCAAAAGATTAGCTGCAGTTAAAAAAAAACTTTGTAGAAATTGAAACTAATGGGCTCGACACACGGGAGGCGACTTCGCCTCTCCTCCATTCATTTTCAATGAGACATGCGCGACAAAGCGATAATCGCGGGTCTCCCTCCTACCAAGCGAAACGCGAAAAATGTGCGTGTGAAATTTTGCGCTTGTGCACAGGCGACCCAGTGACGCGATCCCAGAAAGTTGAAATATTTTCAACTTTTCATCGCTGTCGCTCGGACGAGGACCAATCAACAGAGGTTTCATTCACTGACCAATGAGCGGGCAGGATGCTCCGTACACCTCCGAGTAAACATGAAGGAGAAGTTGATTATTATTATTATGTTTTATATAGTAAAATCAGAAGTAAGATTTCACATAACTCCAGCAGCACCTTGTGAAACATCATATCTACCACTTTTTTTTTTTTAACTCTGAACCGCTTAAATAACCTTCATTCCCTCCAACCTGACACAGCCAAGCAAAACAACGGAAGTTTCGATTTTGCCGCTGGCCGCGGATCGCCTCCCGTGTGTCAGCTAATAAAAGTGACAGCGACAAATTTCTCTGATGGCGGTCGTTTGTTGCCTCCTGTGTGTCGAGCCCATAAGAAAGATACAATGTTTTGCTGACAATTTAAAAAATGAAATTTCTCTCAAATATTGGCCTTTTATTTACCCCTGCTTCATACAGTGGGTTGTTGAAGTCTGATTCCACTGTGATGGGACTGTAGGAGTGTGTGTGAGAGAGGGACTTCCAGAAGAGTGGTTTCCATTCTAGTCTGCAGATGCTGTGAATGACAAAAGAAATCATCTGTACCATTTCCTCCTATAAAAGGACTTAGCACTTGTTCAAGTGGATGACACAGAAATCTGATTGTGGTTCGAGAATCAGAATATTTCCACTGGTCCCTGTCATGGTACACAGAGGCAGAGTGCCGGTAGAAGACCTGGATCAACAATGATGAGGCAATGATGGCAGAGGAGTAAAGTGTCCGCCCTGTAATCGGAAGGTTGCGGTTCGAGCCCCTCTCAGTCTGTCACAGTTGTGTCCTTTACACTTCCTTGCTGGTAGGTCAGACCCATGGCACCAGTGAATGGCAACCTTGCTTATGTAAGTGAGCCCCAGGGCCCCATGTGTGCGTGGATGAATGACCGATTGTGTTGTAAAGCGCCTTGGTGGGTTCTTGGACACTAGAGGGCGTTAAATAAAATACAGGCTGTTAACCATTTACCATGAACTGACCAGAAGTGGGTTTCTTGCCATTAATCCTCCACTTCTGATGATGTAAACCTGGGAGGTAATGGCATATGAAGGAATCTCAGACTTAGGGTATACAGGTCAGCAAAGGTTCGGAAACATTGATACAAGGTATGGGGTGGTAATGAATCCCAAATAGCTACGAGCAAAGTCAGTCAGAATCAGATAAAATTTTCACAGAACCAGTGTGCTGGTACGACATTTTTGTTCCAAAACAATCTTTCCGAGAGCAGACATACAACACATAAAACACATGAACAGGAACAGGCTGACTGTGGGCATGCAGCTACTTCACTGTGCTCTAATTTTTAGATTAAAAAACGGGTGAGGAGGGGCGGGGAAGAAAAACAGGTTTTGGAGTTGGCTTGCAGGAAAAGCACCTCAAATATAAAAGCACATTCAGACAGTTACAACACAACATGTGGTGTTGTCATGTGTTATGTGGTGACATGTGGAGTCTGCAACTATATCAGCGCGGCCTTAAGCCTCTACTGCCCAGGAGTGGGAAAGAGGATTCAGGGGAGGAGGTGGGTGTTGAATCATAGGAGGGTATGTGTGTGTCTGTGAAATGTGTGTTTGTGCATGCATCAGAAATGAGTGAGTTGGGGGCCTTTCTCCCAGTTCTGTCAAAGTGTCTCATCCAGGATGTGATACGAGTTCCTAGTGAACTGATCCAAGTTGTTCACAGGCCCATGTGAAGAATGGGGAAGTAAGGGGCGGAGCAACAGTCTGTATCCAATTCTCCAGGGGAGTTTGAAAATATTAAGCCTTCAAGGCCAAGATTGGGGAGCCAAATTGAGGTAAATGTTGGGCATTGTGGGATCCAAGTCTACTTCGTCTTAATAATATAACATTATGTAGCCCAAAACCTTGACAATGAACTGGCTTAGGAACTGCAGTGTTTCCCCTACATAGGCTCAGGCATGGTGCTGCGCCATGGCTGAAATTTCAGCGCCACGCTAACAAGATTTACCCCCCCCCCCCCCCCCCACACACACACACACAGAAGAGAAGCGCTCAAAGCAGCGCAACCCCCTCCCCCTGCTCTCACGAACAACGCACGGCAGCAAAAAAGGTCTGCGTTCGCCCCCCTCGCTCTCAGCATGGCAGCATTATTTTTTTGTTCTATGTGAGGTCTCTTATATTTTTAAAATTGTCAGATGATTTTAAAATCCTGCCATGATAAACTAGGCGTTATGTAAAACACTTCTTAGAGCTTTTTTTCTTCAACCGAATCTCTCGTCTCAAGAAAAAATGTGGAGCAACAGCTGGAGTAAATTTGAACTGAATTTGCTGTTCACTTCTCCCTGCAATTGATGGGCTGTGGATTCAAATGCATCTGCTAGCTGATAACTTCCTCCATGAAGGTTGTCCCATTGTCACAGAGAAACTCACGTGGTTTCCCTCTTTAAGGCACTGGACAATGCAGGGAAGGTAGAAATGCACCTGCATCTACATCACTTGTGGTTGTGCCATTTGAAAAAAAATTTTTTTTTCTTAGATGATGCCCAATCTTGACCAAGAATGGCTCACTTTCACAGGAGTGTACGTCAGCTACTTGTGGACCCTGAGGTCTAGTCAACTAAAACTAGCATTTCTTACACATGCTGGTGATCATGGACAGCTTTGGAAAAGCCAGAGTTGGCAACACCTGGATAATTTAGCTTCTCATGTCAGTCCTTTGTCAGCAGCTTAGTGATGTAACACTCCAGTTAAAGGACAACAGGGTGAAGTGTCTTGACCTTCAAATTTATAGCCTGCTTAAGCAATCCTTTAACTCTAAGGAGGCCTGCCACATCTTTGTACTTAGGCACCAGGGAACTTAAGGGACTGATGGATGGGGCAGTTTAGCTTGAAGAGCCTCGACTTCTTGTGGGAATTAAATTTAGCTTAGAGTTCAATAAATAGCACAAAGGGATTGGTATGTGGCACAAGAACACAACATTGGAGGACAAGAAAGCAATGCCTTCTCATTACGCATGAATACCAGACCTCACAATGTGCTTTTAGAAGATGGGTCAAAGATGAGTCAAGGGAGCCCACCATCACCTCCATCACAAAAAAGGCCCAGCAAAGGATGTACTTCCTGAGGCAGCTGAAGAATTTCAACCTGCCAGCACAGTCGATGAGGCAGTTCTACACCGCATTCATCGAGTCTATCCTCAATCACGGTGTGGTATGCTGGAGCTACCACCAGGGACAAGAAGAAGCTGCAATGACTTGTGCGCTCTGCTGAGAAGGTCACTGGCTGCAAACTCCCCTCCATACAGGACCTGTACACCTTCAGGACATTGAGGTGTGAGAATCAGATAACAACTAACCCGTGTTGCACTCAACATATTAGATTTTTGTACATTCATGTGTTTATGAGGGCCTAAAAGCTCCAAAAAGTTAGCTGGGATTAAAAATACAACACAAATGCACATGTTGTGTTCTCAGTCTGATCTTATGTTTATGGTTATGTTTATGTATTTAGCAGACGCTTTTGTCCAAAGCGACTTACAAGTGATAATCGGCATGTTGCCCTTGAGGCTAACAACAGCAATAACAACAACAACTTGACATCAATCATGGAGAGGAGGGAACAAGGAGTGGACAGTAGAGAGGGGGGACGGGTGCAGGGGGGGTACTAGTTTAGAAGATGCTCTCTGAAGAGCAGGGTCTTCAGGAGTTTCTTGAAAATTTAAAAGGAAGCCGCTGTTCTGGTAGTGCTTGGAAGTTCATTCCACATTTGTGGAACGATGCATGAGAAGAGCCTGGATTGTCCTGAGCGTGGTGTAGGCACTGCTGGCCGACGATCCTGTATGTTATACAGCATAAAGCGGCATGAACGAGCAACAGAGGCAACATGATCTTTAAAGGTCAGGTGTTCATCAATCACAACACCCAGATTTCGAACTGCCTTTGAAGGAGCCAGAGATAGGAAATCATTTTGGATTGAGATATTGTGCTGTATGGATGGTTTTGCTGGGATGACAAGTAGTTCAGTTTTAGAGAGGTTGAGTTGGAGATGGTGGGATTTCATCCATCTCGATATGTCAGAGAGACAGTTTGATATTCGTGCAGAGACAGTGTGGACGTCCAGTGGAAATGACAGATAGAGCTGGGTGTCATCTGCATAGCAGTGGTAGGAGAAGCCATGTGATCGAATGATCTCACCCAGTGAGGTGGTGTATATGGGAAAGAGAAGAGGTCCTAGTACAGAGCCCTGGGGGACTCCTGTGGCAAGATGGTGCACGGTAGAGGATTGTCCAAGCCAAGATACTCTGAATGATCGTCCTGTGAGGTACGATTCAAACCAGGCGTGTGCTTTCTCTGTGATGCCCATGCTAGAGAGTGTGGACAAAAGGAAGCCATGGTTGACAGTGTCAAATGCAGCCGATAAGTCGAGCAGGATAAGCACTGAGGATTTGGCAGTCGCTCTAGCTTCTTTTAAGGATTCCGTCACTGCTAACAGAGCAGTTTCAGTGGAGTGGCCCTTTTTGAACCCAGATTGGTAAGGGCCAAGCAGACAGTTTTGTGAGAGGTATTCTGTGATCTGCTTGAAAGCCACCCTTTCAATGATTTTGGACAGAAAAGGGAGGAGAGAAATAGGTTGGTAGTTCTCCACATGATTTGGAGGAAGAGATGTTTTTTTTTTTAGCAGCAGTTTAACCTGAGCATGCTTGAGAGAGGTGGGAAATGTACCAGATGTCAGTGAAGCGTTGATCACATGTGTGACTGCTGCGGCTACTGTAGGAGCAATAGCTTGGAGCAGCTTAGTCGGAATGGGGTCGAGAGGGCACGTAGTAGGGCGGCTGCACGTGAGAAGCTTGGACACACAGTTCTCAGTGAGAGGGGAAAAAGAGGAAAATGAAGGAGTAGGGCTTGAGATGGTTGGGCTAGAAGGAGTTTGTGGTAGCGAATGTTCAGGAGTGGCCAGTTGAGTAAACTGTTTGCTTATAGCTGCCACTTTGTCAATGAAGAATGAGGCAAAGGTGTCAGCTGATAGATTGTTGGTAGGAGGTGGAGAAGGAGGGATGAGCAGAGTTTTGAATTTGAAAATAGTTTCTGAGAGTCAGTAGAACTAAGAATTTTTCAGTGTAGAAAGCTTTCTTTGCATCGGTGATGCTGGGAGAGAATGAGGGCAGTAATTCATGAGATTTCAATTGACCAGCAGGATCTTTTGTTTTGCGCCATTTCCATTCTGCTGCTCTAAGATTGGTGCGTAGAGACCGGAGGGTATCGTTTAGCCAAGGGTGGGACTGAGAGGATCTAGCAGGTCTAGTGGCTAAAGGGCACAAGTTGCTAAGACAAGAGCAGAGTGACTCGATGGCATCATTCACTTCATAAGCAGAGAATGTGCTGGGAGATGGATGGCAACAAGAAATGAGAAGTGGTTGGGTTTCAGATTGCGGAGGTTGCAGCAGAATGAGACCATTGGGGAGGAAGCAGTGGACCTCCCTTGTAGAGTCGAGCTGAAACGGATGAAGTAATGATGGGAAAGATGCAGCGGTGTGACAGAGATTGAGTCTATGGCACAGTTTCTAGTGAAAATGAGGTCAAGTGCTTTTCCAGCTTTGTGAGTTGGAGGACTTTGTACTAGTTTTAGATCAAATGATGACATTAGTGACAGGAAGCCCAATGAGCTGGCATTGTCCAGGTGAATATTCATGTCTCCAAGGACCATTGTGGGACAGTCATGCTCAGGAATGGAGGAGAGCAGGGTGTCGAGTTCATCAAGAAAGTCTCTGAGTTGACCAGGTTGGCGATATATTACAACCAAAAAGAATTTTTTCGGTACAGATACCTGGATGGCATGGTATTCAAAGGAGCTGTATTTAGTGATGGGTAGCAACTGACTGTATATCCATTTATTGGAAATTAACATGCCCGTTCCACTACCTCGGCCAGATGCACGAGAAGTGTGGGAGAATGTGTGGTTAATTGAGAGAGCAGATGGGGCAGCATTGTCACATGGTTTTGGTTTGAGTGACAGGTGGTTTGCATATGCGGTAATGAAGTCTGCTTTGTTTACAGCTGATTGGCAATTCCAAAGTCCCATGGACAGGTGGGTGTCTTCGGGGGGAGTTGGTTTAAGCGAGCGGAGGTTTTGAAGGTTGCGAAAGCAGTTTGCTGTGTGTGACCTTCCTCTGAAGCCAGTGATCACAGGTATAGAATAATGGCACATTTTGCAAGGTGTCGATGGGGCAGCGTCTGGGTCGAGTTTGTTTGTTCTGTAGACACGCGCAGGTAGACACATATGTCTTCACGCCGGAGGGGCTGAGACACAAGGGCTGACGCTTCCGGTGACGCTTCAGTTATGCCACCAAACTTATGCTGTGCTACTAGTTGGAAACAGGTGTTCATGCAGCAGCTGATTGCAATGGTTGAGACCTAGAGCACCTGATGAGTGTTTTCAGGGAGGAGAGAAACGGCTCGTTCACAGCTCCTGATTGCACTTATTGTTTTCAGTTGGCCCAAACCGGAGCTACTAGACAACAGGGTTACCCACAGATGAGTTTCCTTCTCTTTCCCAATGGAAGATAGTGCAAAGCAAAAGTTTAAGAAGACAAAAACAAGCACTAACAGACACTCAAGACCATTTGGTGCAGATTCAGTCTCACTCTGATGATATCAATTCACTCTACGATCTTTAGGCAAAATACACCCTCAGTATATAAGTACTTAGTTACCCAAAACACTTACTTTGTGTAGTACATGTAAATCCCACCAATCAGAAGGATGACCAGGATGATGGGCAGAATTATTGCCAAGGCAATGTTTTCACTCAGGACCTGATGGGACGGCTCAAAAGACTGGGACACTGTAGAACAAAGTTGTGATAAATATCAAGTCCTTCAATAAATAAATAAATAAATAAATAAATAAATAAATAAATAAATAAATAAATAAATAAATTCTTTTTGCCCAAATTAAAATAATCTAATGCAAAATTGATGCTGGTGTGAAGGTTTATAAAAACAATATAAACTGGTGTAGAATTTAAAAGACTGTGGCTTATGCCTAGATGGTGTATAGAAGTTTATTTCCACCACTCAGATAAAAAAATATATTTAGATCTCATAATTATGACTTAAGTATCTCATATTTATGACTTTGATATTTGTTTTTAATCAGAGTGGCAGGAAAGGTTTTCCATAAACATCACTATCTCTCTAGGATTCATACTTTGTGAAATCATAGGCGTGTGTTTGGCCATCTGGTGGATAAACTAAGTACTACAGCGTGCAACTGCCAATTTTATTATTGACATAGTTATAAATGTTGCAGTATTGCTCTCCATTAAACTATAAACAGAAAAAACTGGCAATTATTTGATATATCAGGGTTTTAAAGGATACAATATCACTGACAGTAGCTTTAATTTTATTATTAAATTATAATTGAATGACACGAAAAGGAAAAAAGAAAAGAGAAATCACCTTCTGACTTGTGATCATCCAAAAGCTCTTCATATGCCACTGAAAGAAATGAAGTAACACAACATTAAAATCCCCACTGTCATGCAGATATAATTAACTAAAACAATACTATATGTGAAACTATACAAGCAAAATTCAGTCATTCTAGAATGTTTACCTTTGCAAAAGGGGGGAGGGCTGTTCCACTGAGAAGGATGACCTGGAACACACGTGATAATGACCTCACCAATGAGCTCGTAGCCCTCATAGCAGAAGAAACGCAAAGTTTCTCCAGCCTGGTAGCTGTGCTTGTACAACGTTTGGTAGCCATTGTCAGGGACTCCCGGATTTGGACATGGGTCGTATTTTACTGTTGAGAAAAAACAAACAAACACATTATTGCATGGCTACACATTTAGCTGTTTCTCAAGTAGCAGAAAAAAAGCACAGTTGATGGACTAAACAAACAAAACTGACTGGAAATAGAAACTTACAGACACATTTTGGGCTGCGGTCACTCCATTTGGGGGTGCCGGTGTCTCGTCCATGGCATGAAATTTGACTGGGACCTTCCAGTTGATAACCCTGGTTGCAAGAGAAACGCACAGTGGTCCCAACTGCAAAACCCATTTCAGGACGCACGGAGCGCGCTCCGTTCACCACCTCTCCTGGATCGGGACATTGCTGGACTGTGAGGAGTAAAGCGGGACATTTGATGATTTTATTACTATTTTTTAAAGGAGAGAGAAGAAAAGTTAAAGTGACATTTAGCTTAATATTTGTTTTTCAAAAAATATATTGCCCAGATAAAATAATGTTCATGGTAGAACTACTCATCTGTTAAATATGAAATTTACACACTTTCAGCAAAACCTCTTCATATCACTTATTTCCACAATCATAAACTACAAAAATATATGTTTATACACCTAGAAATATGTGAATTGCAGTAAATAAAATCAGTGTTTGAGCAATTCTCACCAAAATTGCATTATGCTGTTAGTATAATGTGAAAATTATGACAACACAAAGATGTTTAGTGTAGATTTTTAACAAACTGCTCTGAAGCTTTAGGAGATTATAGGTTATTTTAGACTTTATTCATTAGATTTTAGTCTTGGCACCCTTTGGGCTGGCTAACAGTGTCTCAGCCTGGTTTGAAATGATTTATTTCTCCAAAAGGAGGTTGTTCAAATATCTATGTTCCTGAAAGTGTGATTTTAACCAGGGATGCACAAATATTAATTTTTTGGGCCTACCGACATCGAATAATAATACCACTGTTATGGCCAACAGCCAATATTTGCTGATACTGATTTATTCTTCTGAAATAAGCAACTTTTGAATAGACTGAAATTATGCAAGCTGAAATTTTCAACGTTTTGCTTTATTTCTATAAAGTTGACTTTGCAATATGCTATACACACACACCACACACATTTACGCTTCTGAGATGATTACCACCACTGTCGCAGGAATAAAAAATTACAGATCATCACCCCCTTACCCTCTGAAACAGATACACAAATGTAAACGTACAAGCATAAACAGAAACAAGATGGAAAAAATATCTGTTGTTAATATTGGCCCAGTTTAACTTATCGGACCGATACCGATATGTTAAAAAATGACTAAAATCGGCCAATACCGATAATGATGCTGATATAAATGGTAAATGGTAAATTTACAGGCCATTTACCATTTCACCATTAACCAAAATCGTTCGATACCGATATTGATGCCGATATAGCGTGCATCCCTAATTTTAACTGTTCACAGCCTTTCCTAATAGAAACATACTTAACATAGCTAAACTCCTTGTTTGTTTCACCTTTAACACAAGTAGGTGGAGCACTGCTCCAGGACAGGTCCCACTGGCAGGTGATGATGTCTGAGCCGCTGATGTCATATCCTGGTTGGCACTGATAGGTCAGCACGCTGCCTCTCACAGGGGAGGAATGGGATGAGCTGATCCAGCCAAATTCAATTTGAGGGAGGGTAGGGCAGGTGTCATTAGGCTCAACCTCTGCAGGACAGAATAAAACATGTTGCTCTTCAGTGGTAGAGGAACCTATCTGTGCTGATCAATGAGGTCAGACACTTAGATTTTAAATGGAATGAGCGTGGAGATTTTGAGCCACTCACCTCGATAATGGATGAGGAACCCCTGGCTCAGGATGAAACTGGAATCATCAGGGTCACTCTGAAACTGAATGGTGATCTCTGACCCTCCAGATTCTACCTTGAAGCGCTCTTTGGACCCCAGATACTGACCCATCACATGTGACGTGAGGTCACGCCCATCAAAGATCGTCAGCACATCAGTATGGCGAATATTCAAGCTAAAGAAAAGGAGTAAAAACACAAAATGAGCTTTCACAGAGAGTTTTGTATTTCTGAAGTGAAGCAGTTCACCCAGCAGATGCATTAGTTTAGCCTGCGCACATAGAGCGGTGAACGAAGATAAAGAAGAGGTGGGAATGGGTTAGACCAAACTAAAACAATCCCATTCCAATTGCATTCTCAAGACATAGGCAAGTGAGCTGCCACGTTCTCCTGATTGGTTTCCATTGTGCGTGTGAGTTCCGTAAATGCAGCCACATTACCGCACAGAACATCTAGCTTGTGATTCATCTCGAGCAACATTTGAGTCCGAGAGTTCAAAGCGCGGCAAATACCTTCTGTGAGCTTGGGAGACCTGCCAATAGCTCCCGTCTGCTCCAAAATCTTTCACTACACCAGGTAGCCACCATCTCCAAACAGCTGGAACCTGGAAATCATGAATCCATGAGTCTTTGACGGAAAGCAACGAGAGGCACGTAATCGTCCACGTGGTTCCAGGAATCCATTATGTACCCAACTGGGTGCGTTCCATACAGACAGGAGGGAGCTCCCTTCTCCGTTAATAAAGTGTAAAAAAATGAAATCAATTGCATTCGGAGATCAGCTCACCAGATCCATGGATCCATGGTAAAGCCAGAAGGAATGCAGAGAGGTGCTCGGGTAGACAGGACAGAGAGCAGCAGGATGATAGGATTGGGAGGAGAAGGAGAAAAGGAAAAGCGTCTGCTCCTCTCGACAGCAAGGAAGATCAAACCTGCAACCCTCCAGTTATGGGGCAAATACTCTCAAGAGAATGTGCTTCGCTGTGTCTGGAGCAGTCCGGTTTTGTCTCCAGCAGTGGGCAAAGTGCAACAATCAGAAGAAACTGTGTTTGGCTAGGATGTCTGGATCTGGATATTAACTCTGTGCTGTTTACGTGCTCAGAACGTCTAGAGGTCAAGTTTATTCAGACACAAACATGAATAATATTTTTAAAGGTCATTACTCACATCTGGACCTCCAGTTCAATGCGTTTTTCCTCGTTGCCGCGGATCTGCCATACGCAGTCCAGGCCCTTGGAGTAGCTCTGGGGCCAATCAGGGGACAGGATGGTGCCTGATGGCTCGGTCAGCTCCCCTCCACACAGAGCTTAAACACAACAAAAAAACAGATAGGACTGGTGTTACCATGTGAACTGAGTTAATGGGAAAAACTGAAAAAGAAGAGCAATTCAGGAAAGAGTATTACTATTAATAGAAAGAAAATGACAGCAAATGGTTTCTGGTCTCATCAGCAAAAGCTCAAATACATTCATCTTGTTTCTGTTACAAAAAAACAATTTATTTACAGTCTGATGGCAAAAATGAGAAGAATAACATCTGCAAGCCACATCTGGCAGAAAATGATAAAATATTACCATTTACATATTCTAGCTTAAGTACCAGTTGATCCATCAGTCAGACAGCAGTTGAGCCCTTTAACCTGTTTTTATTAGAGGAAAGCATCCTGCAATCATGAACGGATGCTCAATCTTTTAAAAATCTAACCATTCGTTTGTCTGATTCACTAGTGGTGACAGCTGTTTGTGCTTTTCTTGCAATCAAAAATAAAACATTGCACATGGCTGTCTGAGCCTCGATCTGTCTCTGTAATAATGTTTGGTTGGAGCTGTACCACCTGTGTTTTCAGCGCAAAGCCTGTTTTATTTGAGTCACTGCCTTCCTGTTGCTGTCGGCTTTCACAGCATGATAGCAGGTGACAGAGTCGGGGTGACAACAACATCTTGAATCTTTAAACACCCATCTCTGCACAAGTTATTTAGAATATTCATGAACATATCAACATTCTTTTATAATAAGAGACCATGTGCTTTTAGTCAAGTTAAAAAATAAAAATAAGAAGCTACAAAAATGTCAGGAATCTCTTAATTATTATTTTTGACCAAGGACCAAACCAAAAACGTACCTCTGCACACAGGTTCGCTGTCGTTCCAGTGTGGATTGCTGGGGTCAACACACTCAATTGTCCCTGAACCTTGCTCCATCACAAACCCAGGAGAACATGTGAAGCTGACAATGGTGCCCAGCTGATATGAAATATCGCTGCTGCTGAAATTTCCATGAGGCATGTAGGGCTCCCAGCAGTGCTCTTCATCAAATGCTACAAGCAAAAAGAACATGAGCCATTATACGTATGTGCATAGAAATATCAAAATATCTGAGAAAGTGCAGCTTGGTTTGACAACAATGAGGAATGACCAACATCCAGAAGACTGAAAACGTCCAGGAAACTCAGTAATGAAGTTTTTTCACTTCTGAACAACTTCTGATTTTAAGATTATTGGTTGAAACAACTGTACGTTGTTAGTTTGGATGTCACCAATTTGCCAAGACCAAGAAGAACACCAACATTAAATGGTTTAGTAAGTTCAGGAATGACCCAAGAGCCACCAAAGCTCAAGAATTAAGCCATGACTAGAGAAGATCCCAGCCAAACAGCCAAAAAGACACCTTATAAACTTGACTGAAATTAATAGAAGACAAAACAAAAATCTAGCTACATGACCACAAGAACAAAGAAGTATGTTTGGGGGAGTTCACATGAGGCTTCAAACCTTAAAAAACTGTACCAACTGTAAAGCATGGTGGTGGTAGCATCATACTGTGGTACTGGTACATTACATGTAGTAAATGGGACATCAAAGAAGGAGAAGCACCTTCAAACTCTTTAAAATGACATGAAATTATTTTCTACATCTGTTTTTTAAATAGCTCAGGCAGAAACCAACTGTTACCATGGCAACCACTGGTTGAAGTGTTGACTTTTGTAATCAGATAAATAAGCATGAGCATGAGTGAGTTAAGAGACATTTGATAAAATTTTAATGAGGTGCATGTACATATTTGAACCCATATATAACCTCAGGGACCTGCTGAGGGTGTAATGACTGAGCAGATCACCAATGTATGATGGTGCTTGTCCATGTAAGGCCCTATAGACCAGAACCAAATATGGAAATGAAGACTGAAGATAACAGCCAGTGAAGCTGGAACAGGAGTGCTTCAACGATTGGTTCAGAAACCGAGCACAGGCATTCTGAACCACCTGCAGATGGTTCAGGGAGGTTCTGCTCAGACACGTGAAAAGTGAGTGGTTGTCTCAAGTGGGAGAAAATGATGGTGTGGATAACTGTCTCAAGTTCAGAACATGACAGAATGGGATTCAGCTTAGCAATGTTCCTGAGATGGAAGAAGGAAGAGCTAACAAGAGAATTGACATGAGAATCCAGGGTGAGAGCTGGGTCAAAGGTCACGCCAAGATTCCTGACAGAGGGTTTGGTGTGAGAAGCAAGCTGACCAAGAGAGTCTCTGACTTTGGGAACCAGCTTGTCTGGGGCACAGATGAGGATCTCAGTCTTATCTTCATTCAGCTGAAGAAAGCTCCCAGCCATCCAGGTTTTGATAGTCTAAGCAGGTGTGTAACAGCTGCAGCTTAGACATCTCATGGGGCTTAAAGGAGATGTACAGTTGGGTGTCATCTGCATAAAGATGGTAGGAGACTCCTTTAAAATATCTCAGCATGTCCTGGAGAGGAGGAACAGTAGAGGCCCCAGCACAGAACCTTGAGGGACACCATAGGCGAGGGAGGTGGTGGAGGACCAAAACTTGGATATGGCTACAGAGAAGGAACGCTCAGACAGAGATAAGGAGAACCACTCCAGAGCAGATCCTGATAGGCCTACCCAGTCTCTCAGCCTCTCCAGTAGCAGGTGATGGTTAACAGTGTCAAAGGCTGCCCAGCGTGCTCTCCATTATTAATGCTTCTCTGGTTTCTGGTCAGGGCCCTGCTTATTTTAAGAACGCTATAATCCACCTTCTTCTTAAAAATATCAATTTTGATTAATCTCCATAGCAGCTTCAGACCCATCTCTAAACAACTGTTCATCTCCAAGTTCTTGAAAAAGGCCGTATCTAAACAAATCCCAGCTGCTTCTGAAGATAACATCTATGATAGCTTCCAGTCAGGTTTTCGTAGAGCTCATTCTACTGAAACAGCTCTTCTTAGGGTCTCTAATGACCTTCTCACTCACAGTGATGCAGGGGACTGTTCTGTTCTGGTCCTGCTGGACCTGACAGTGGGACAGATGGTTCCATATCAGGAACATTGCTAAGCTGAGTCCCATTCTGTCCCGCTCTGAACTTGAGACAGTTCTCCACACCTTCATCTCCTCACGCTTAGACTACTGTAACTCTCTTTTCACGTGTCTGAGCAGAACCTCCCTGAACCGTCTACAGGTGGTTAAGAATGCCTGTGCTCGGCTTCTGACCAAGTCCTCCAAACACACCCACATCACCCCGCTTCTCCTCCAGCTTCACTGGCTGCCAGTCAACTTCAGGGTTCATTTCAAGATCCTGGTTTTGGTCTATAGGGCCTTACATGGACAAGCACCATCTTACATTGGTGATCTTCTTAGTCCCTGCACCCCCAGCAGGTCCCTGAGGTCCAGTGATCAAAGCCTACTGGTTGTGCAGCACCAGGCTAAAGACCAAAGGTGACAGATCATTTGCTGCTGTGGCCCCCAGACTCTGGAACTCTCTCCCCCTGAGCCTGAGATCAATGGACTCAGTGGTCTCCTTTAAAAAACAGCTGAAGTCTCACTTGTTCAAGCTGGCTTTTGTATGACCTTCTTCAACCCCTCTCTCTTTATTCTGCTCTCCCCACCTATTCCACCTTCCTCAGGATCCACTGATTTCCCTCTTTCCTGTTCACTCTCTCTTTCTTAACATTTTTTAATCACAATTGTCTATTTTTGCTCACTTTAAATATATTTTTAAACATTTTCTAAATGCTTTTTTATATTTTTACATTTTTTGCTTTTGTGAAGCACCTTGTGATTTTTATCTTGAGAGGCGCTATAGAAATTATATTTTCTTCTTCTTCTTCTTCTGAAATGCACTTTTAAACAAAGATGAGGGTAAGATGTCGAGGGGGCATGCAGAGGTCTTCATAGAGTTAACTAGTTTGGTTAACTCAGGTAAAGAAACAGGAGCAAAGCTATCTAGGATGATGGGCCTGGTTGGAGTCGGGAGAGGCAGCGATAAGGCTGAAGGAGAGATGCTAGATCTAACCTTATTGACTTTGTCCACAAAGAAAGACAAAAAGTTTTCACAGTCTGCATCAGAGTGATGGAGGCTGTAGGAGAGGCAGGAGAGACGATGCTGCTGATGGTGTTAAACAACAGTTTGGGATTCCCTTTGCTCTTTGACCCCAGGTTGGAAAAGTATGTAGCATTAAAGGAGGTCAGAAGATCCTTTAGATGCAGCAGATGGACGTGGAGACGGGTTTTCTTCCATCAGAGCTCAAATTTTCTGCGCTGGTGCTTAAGGCTGCAAATGCTGATCTGGTTCTAACAGGACAGATGCTGTCCAGAATGGAGAGGCAGTGGCCGTTAAAGGGCTGAAGTTGTATGTTGTATAAAAACCTAAATGCAAATATCTTCAAAGCATGAATTGAAAAAATAGAAAAACTTTAAGCATCAAATAATACATTACCTGACTTTAGAACGCTGTAATGAATCATAACTACATTTTCTTTTACAAGCAAGAAACTGACTCAGGTACTGAGTAGCACACAATAATGAGGTTAGATGGATGTGCAGCTTCACTCCTGCGTCTCTGTTTTGCTGAATCCTCCAGTAAGCAAGAAAAAAAAAAGAGAAAAGGATGCATGCTCCTACTCACCCTCATATCTCAGTGCCAGCAGCAGAGGAATGGAGGAAGAATCTGCCGTGAGCTCCAGGTAGAGCGTGGAGCTCTCGCTCAGCAGCCCACGCTCAGGGACGTCGTCCAGATCGGAGTCAAAGAGCGGTGGGGACAGGGAGTTGTTTCCACTGCGAACAACTAACCTAGAAGAGAAATGCCACAACGGTTCGTGCTGGTAAAAAAAAGACTTTGATCACAGCTGGAAGTAGAAATGGGCACAGAAAACCCTCAGGAAGAACAACCACTTTTCTTGGTCTTTATTTCTTTTCTAAAAGATTACATAAACACTTTGGTTAATGATTACAATTATTTAATTCTCGTGTTTCATTAAATGATGACGTGGGCAGTGTGAAAAATAAAAAAAAAGAGCAACAAATGGAAGGAATGGACGTTTGTGTCAGGAGAGTATGCCAGTTTGCCAGGCTTTGCAGAAAATCGAGAAAAAGTGAAATCAGAGAAAAGCACCATTGGTTAGTTTTTGCAGTCAAATTGCATAATTATTATTAAAAAGTACAATGGTGACAGCAACAGGTAAGCCTGATAAGTCTTAAATTAAATATATAACTGTAACATCTCTTTTAAAGGGCTCGTCCACTGAGAAAGCGTGTAATATATATATATTCTTTAAAATATGATCGGTCACTCTGAGTTGCATGTTTTGCATTGGCCATAGACAGGAAATTGGCAGGAAAATGATTGGGTTAGAAAAAGCCAGAACCTTCTTCGTCACAGGCAAAAGTAGCATTACTGGACTCACCGAGCTTGGTTTACGACTGAGGAAGACTTTATTGATGCAGCTATAAGAGCAAAGCACATCTCCGGCTAGTAGAAGCTAACTGTTAGCATTAGCAATTTGACAAACATGGTGAAACAAGTTCAGGTTTGTGTCATTTGTGCTGGTGAAAGGGGTACCCAGAGTAGTTTTGGTTTGTTAAATAACAAGACACTAGGGCTGGGCGATATAGCCTAAAATCAATATCACGATATATTGAGGATTTCACCTCGATAACGATAAATGGACGATAACTTACAGGTATGCGCAGAAACAAAAGTCATCCACTACATGGGGCTGTCACGTGTATTATGTTGAGTCACATTTTTACGTGACTTAAGGTGTTACAGCTCCTTAAAGGGACATGAACGTTGCCAACCTACACACACGTTTTCATAATTTTAATTATCAAATTTATTGAAATGAGAAAAACTATCTTGATAAGAGTCAGACATTTCGATAACGATACATTTTCGAGTTATTGCCCAGCCCTAATAGACAGGTATAGCTATTAAGCTTGACTCTCTCATATTCCAGTTAGAATTGACAAAGCTCCTCGTACGAGAAGCCAGAGAAGTCAATTTGCCTTCATTTGAACTTTTTGAGTGTTATTTGTTGAGATAAAACATCAGCATTTCAAGTTTCTTACTCAAGAAAGAAGCATGAACAGGTTTTCTAATCATGAATATTAACGAGTACGACTCAAATCCTACCATTTTTTTCTTGTTCCCCACACTTCTTCAGCTAACTTCTATTTTTTGTAACTGGAGTGCCAGAGCTTTTTGTCCCCCCTGCAGAAATTGACTCAAAAACATTCATTTATACAAGAGAGACCACTGCAGATTTATTGAAAAATAAATAAATAAATAAATAAATAAATAAATAAACTAGTGAAAGAGACCTTTAGGGGGGAACATTTCTAAGTGAGCAGAAAAATGTAACAAAATGTTTCACATCGGTCAATGTTGTCAGTGTAGGTTTAGTGACATCTGCTGGCAAAATGGCAAACTGCAACTAACTGGAACTAAAGCATCAGTCTGAAAACATTGCAACACAAACACAAAAAGGGTTTTAGAGCCATTAACGGCCGGCCATTGGGGCACAAATGAATTTTATCACCTTGAAACCACACAAGACTGGAACAAGGAACAAGGAAGTTGAAAAGAAAACAGGTGAACATTGAAAAAGGAACATCACAAACTTACTTGTCGTCATCTTCATCCAGTGCGATCCTCTCAAAGTGGAGGTGGAGTCTGTGTCCTTCTTTAGCTTCTATCAACCAGTGGCAGCTCAGATTGTTACCATTACTGTGGTTGCTGACTGATGGAGGAGGTGGAGACAAGATCCGCCCAACAGTTGCATTGCGAACCCACCCTCCGCAAGACACAACTGAGGAGAAATAATTAATAGTTTTTCATGATCACTACCCACTTTAAGCAGAAACAGGACAATGGTGATCTAAATGATCCTACGGACCGACACATCGAGGCTCAGGGGTGCTCCAGCGTGGCTGTGTCGTGTTGATGCATGATGCCACTTCATGGCCTCGCATCTGGAAACCTGGATCACAGTGAAAGTGTGCCTGCCCTCCAGGATGGATGTCTGTCACTGTCACTCCACCACCCACAGGCGACATGGGGAAAGGGCAGGATAGCAGAAAGGCTGTCGATAGAGAGACAGCGTAGCTAATTATATACTGGCAACATCTCATCTGACTGGTGATATTTTAATCATTACTTAACAATCATCAATCTTCCTTTTCATCCACACTTTGCATGTTGTCATTTTTCACAAACTTTCACACATTCCTGTTCTAATCTGTTGGGAGTTGATCATTAAATCTGCTGTAGAGAAACTGTTTGATCTTTATCTTTCTTAACAGCAGTAGACAGATTGTCCAAGGTCTAAATACATCATCATCATCATCATCATCATCATCATCATCATCATCATCATCATCATCATCATCACCATCATCATCATCATCATCATCATCATCATCACCACCACCACTGTTTACCTTGTATTAAAATGTTGCAGAAATTTACAAACATAATTAATTCTCTATTTCAAATTAAATTTTATACACATTTCTTGAACTTAAAAGAATAATTAAAATATATTAAAGTTTGGTAAAATTAGGACCTGAGTCTATAGAGGGCCAAATGTGAAATACTATCATCATCATCATCATCATCATCATCATCATCATCATCATCATCATCATCATCATCATCATCATTTATTTATTTCCAACATGCCAATAACATCACAATTAACAACAGGATATAAATCAATAATAAATCAAGTTGACATTGTTGTAGGCATGTTCGAAAGGGAGTGGGCGGAAGCCAAGCTTATTCAAGCCCACCCCTGTTTTTCACTAACAATTTACCATTCAGTATGTATCTAAATTGCATTAACTCAAATTCAACAACCTTATGACCAAAGAAAATCATAATCATAACAATAATAATAATGGTAGTCTAGACAATTTAACAATTCTTGTCAATATCATTAACTATATTTTCCCATACACCTTTACTCACATCATTGCCCATTCTTATTTGTAATGTATTTTAACCAAACACCAAATATACTCAACAGGTAACAGCTATTTTTGACCACATTTAACTTTAAATAATGATATCAAAAACATTAGAATAAATTTTAACATAAATGTTAAACCTAATAAAGGTGAACATTGACAAATTGGAATACGGTGAAAAAGTCCATTTATGTCAGTAATTCATCATAGACTGAGAGACCATCTAAAGGCTCAGGAACCTTTTGCAGGTTTTTCAGATTAATCAGCTGATTAAAGTGTGACACTTTGAGTCTAGAGTATTGAACCTTTTCACAATATTCTAATTGTCTGAGATTTTGAATGTGGTGTTTTCATCAGCTGTAAGTCGCAGTTATAACAAATAAAGGCTTGAAATCTATCACTTTGCATGCAACGTCTATCTGATACATTAGTTTCATTTTTAAGCTGAATTACTAAAATAACTTTTGCACCATATTCAAATATTTTAAGCTTCACCTGTCTTAAACAAATGACATCAAAATAAATATGACAATCCAAATTAGTAAATGTTTCATGGTCAATTTGATTCTCAGTCATGGGGAGCCAGAAATGTTGTGGAATCTCTCTTTTAGATGATTTACATAGATTTTATTATAAATACTTATTTTATACTTTCTATTGGGTCTCCTCCTGGTTGGACGTGCCCAGAAAACCTCACTAAGGAGGCATCCAAACCAGATGCCTGAGTCACTTCAACTAGCTCCTCTTACTGTGGAGGAGCAGCAAATCTACTCCTGGCCCCTCCCAGGAGGAGACCCAAGGCAGACCCTGGACATGCTGGAGGGACTATATTTCTCATCAGGCCAGGGGATGCTTTAGGACTCATCTGGAGGAGCTGGCCCAAGTGGCATGGGGAGAGGGAAGTGTTGACCTCTCTGCTCAAGCTACTTACCCGACTTCAGATAAGCGGAAGACAATGAATGGATGAACTGATATTTTAAAAATTTATTTTATTAGGATAAACTCCTAAATAAATGTGATGAAAAGGTGGAAAATATTTTTTATTGATACTTTAGCTAGATGGGACAAAACATAGTTGTTACATTTTTATTATGTAATGTTGCATACATGTCATAAACGTAAAAGACAAGAAGTTTAACTCACCTTGATAGTGGAGGCTGAAGGTGCCGTGGTTGAACTGTCGGAGGCTGCGGTAGTGAATAGACACCTGGTTGGTTGTGCTACGGATCACCTGACCCTCTTTCATCAGCGTCTCATTAGCTAACAGCTCGGCACCTGAGCTCCCATAACCCAAAATGGTCAGAGATTCGTCCTTTGAAAGGTTAGTCTTCCTCACCTGGAGAGAAAAATAAGGGTGAAGATTATCATAATCTTTATCCATAACATGAAAATCCTTGAAGTTAAAAACAAATGGCAGCTGGACTTCTTCTATTTTGACTTTTTATGCAGCAACAAACAGGCTTGGAACTCTAAAACCATTATCAGAACTGAATAGAACAGTTTTATGTTTTACATTAAAAAGAGCTTCAAGTGGTCAAAACAGCCTTTTAAACAGAACAACACGCTGGATGACACAATCTTTTATTATGTTGATTTATTTTTCCATCGAGAATCCTTTCATATAATAAAGCAGGGGTATTCAAAGAAATTTTTAGTTGGGCCAAACGGTCATAAGGCCTTTGCCAGTGGGCCGCTCATTTCCATGTACTTCATCACTTGAAACGCACCATTGTCTTTTCTTTTTAGTCCTAATGCATGAACTTCAGAGAGATGTTGTAGCTTTCCAAGTGAAAATCACACCACTTCACTGGTAGCTTAGAGTTAATTGTCCCTGATTCTGGTGGATATTCCTCATCAAAGTTGGCGTGAGTCGTCTTGAAATACCTCCGTACATTGTATTCTCTGAGCAAATGACGTGATGAACAAGGCACTTGGGTTTTCCACCAGCTTTTTATACAGTGATCGGAAGAGCGATGCTAGCTCCCGCCAGGGGCATTCTGCTGTGGAGTCCTTGGGCAAGACACTTTGCCTGACTTGCCTGCGTTGGTGGTGGTCAGAGGGGCAGATGGCGCAAATGGCAGCCTTGCCTCTGTCAGACCGCCCCAGGGAGGCTGTGGCTACATAGCCGCTAACCGTCACCGGCAGTGTGTGAACGTGAAAGGGAATGAATAATGGAAAGTGCTTTGGGTGACTAGAAAAGTGCAATATAAATCCAGCCCATTATTATTATTATTACTACTACTATCAGTCCAGTCATCAATGAATGCTCTATTTTAGCTGTCCAACTTACGACTCTTCTCTTTTGGATGCGACTTGTTTTCCCAACAGACTGCTGTAGTAAACTTTCCACCAGCCTAAACAGTGGAGCTCCACGCCTTAAAATGTGAACTGTCATGTTTACAGTTAAGTCACAGCTATTAAACAAATAATTTAAAAGGTGTGTGGGCAATGGGCCCGACCAAAATAACTGACGGGCCAGTTCTGGCCCTAGGGCCGCCTATTGAATAGGGCTGTAATAAAGAATAACAGTTAAAACCATAATTTATGTTTTAAGGACTTGTGATTCACCTGAATTTCCACGCCGTAGCCTGGATAGACCGTAATGCTATAGGTGCACTCCAGAGGGGAGATGGATGACGAAGACGCAGGATCTGGAGACTCCACAATATCCTCCATCGCTGACAGAGTGGCGTTACACTGAACTATAAAAGGAAGGACAGAAAAACAGAAAATATGCTGATTTAAAAAAATCTAATGTAATTAGAATAAGGTTCTTGACCTTTTCAAATAGGCTCTTCAGAAAGAGTTCACACATTCATGAGAGCTGATGTCATCTTTGATCAAAGAGTCGAACCCAAATCATGAAGACATCAGGAAATTCTGTCCGTTTTCTAAAAATCAGGGACAATCTGTCTCCTCTGAAGAGAAAAATTGCTCTTTTAGGCTCATTTTATCACCTGCAGTCGGTGTGAATTTAGTTTGTTTCTCTGTTTCCAGATTTATGCCGTGTGATGCAAACAAATGAGCAGCTTGTTGCCGTCTCATATTTAGAATGCCCTACAGCACGACGGTGTCTCTCAGCGAGGAGGCGGACAAAAACATAAAAAAAAAGTTCAAAACATTCCTCTAAAGATATGATGACTTTTCTGCCTTATGGGTAAAAAAAAGGGCCTGTCTGAAATGTTTCATGTCAACTAAGTAGGGTTCCAAAACACAAAATCCGATCATTACGACTGAGGTGACTTTCTCAAATGGGTCACAGGTCATTCATCTTGGATGATGTTTCTCTCCACACGTTGGGTGCAAATCAGATGACTTCATACTCGTGTGGTTGTCACTCTGAAGCATTTCTTCACACAAGGCGAGAGCTAGACACCTGAGCCAATAGCGGCTCAGTATTTGTGTCTAAACTCATTTTCTGACAACACAAAAGGCACGGCGTCGACTCAGGCTCACTTAAATCTTTGTGTGTTCATGTTGCTGCTCTTCATTCTCGTCATGTTCGAAATTCTGTCTGTGCGTCACTGAAACAGCAACACAAACACAACATAACATTTATGGGATGCAGAGATTTTACTTTGGCTAAATCAAAGACACCAAGACTGAATGACGACCAATATTGAATTCCTTACTTCCAAATGTTTCTCAGAGCTTCACAAATCCAATAAAGTCTTGTCCTCCGGGACTCATTTGGACTTTGTTCAAGGTAATAAGGCAACAAATCTATAATCAAATTAAACAGCTAGCCTCATTTAAAGGAACAATATCACCCACTGTTTTTCACACGAGTTTAAAGCTGAGATCATCTCAGGTTTTCTGTATTTTAGATATACTTGTGTTTGTTTTTTGTTCCTTTCCTGCATTCATTTCTTGTCTTGTGTCAGGTCTCTTCTTCACTTCCTGTTTTGTTTCCCACCTGTAAGCAACTTTTGTGTCTCATTGCATTTCCTTATTTGTGTGATTTAGACTCTTCTATAGCGGGTTTTGTGTTTTCTAAGATCAGCTGGCTGTGGCAGCCAGCTTCAACTGGGTTGACTCCCAAAAATAATAAGTTGTCCGTGCCCAATGGTTACTTTCTGAGAGTTCATTTAAAGGGGTCATATCATAGAAAATCCACTTTTTGGAGCTTTTTACCATGTGATGTTATTTCCTGTTGAAAAATAAAACTGTCTGGGATGCCCCCGTGACTCGGACTCAGATAAGCGGAGGAAAATGAGCAAACGCAAAAATATATATACAAACCCATTTAGGCATCATTCATGCATTTTCGTGTTTCAGCTGCAAATTTAAGAGTTTTACTTTGAAAATCCCGTAAAGAGTCATCAGGTCCCACACTTCTCCCAGAAGCCTGTCTCCCCTGGCCAGCACAGGATGTGGCTTTGGCAACTGGTGTCATGTAGCAGAGTTGGTAGTCCAGTGGATAGTGCTAGCATGGCTCACCCTAACCCTTAACCACTGGTCTTCCATAGCCAATGACGCAGCTGACTCACCTAAGACACTGTTGTAAGCACATTTTGACAGAGAGGGAGTGGGCGGAATTTCACTAAAAAGAACAGTTTCGTTTCCGGGTATACGTTCAGGCAGATGAAAAAAGACTCGTATTCAAAGAGCAAGTCACCCCCAAATCAGCTTTTTTTAATGATAAACTAAAATAAATGAGTGTCTAAATGTACCGTAGACATATGTAGTCAATATTTTGGCACTTTAGTGCATCTTAGTTCAAATTTAAATATTCTGCCTAAAACTGGCAGTGTTGTGCCGTCTTCAGGTAAAAACTCTGCACTACATTTTAATTTAAATCTGCCACCGCTATTGGCTAAGAGGTACACTGTGACATTAGCTGGTACCATATGATGTCACAATGCTGTTGTGAGCATGTTTGTGTGTGTTTGTTAGCGGCTCCGCCTTCTCGGTCTGCCAGGCAACAGCATTTGTTGCATTTTTCAAACAGGAAGTGGGAGTTGAATAACTCTGGTAGGGGGTGACTTGCTCTCTAAGATAAATGACCCTCTGGAGGTAGGCATTGCAGATTTGCAACATTAAAACCTACCTACCTGGTTACTCCACATACGTATTTCATGAGCATTTTTTTAACTCAGAAGTACCCCTGAAGGACTTAGTTGTTCGTCCTTTTATCAAAACTTATTTCGAGCCTGAGAGGGTTATATTTTGCTAATGGTAATATTTTATCATTTACTGTGCCTACCTTTGCTCTCAAAAGATTTAAAATAGCATGATGTGGAACCTTTAAAATCTGTCCAGTGGGATATTTTTGCTACATTTATAGAAAGATACTGCACTCATACTCACACAGACACAGGCAAAAACATCATCACCTGATTTGTACTTTTTGATTTTATTAGCCATTTATCCAAACTTACTTCTAGCCTGTATTACCAACACATTCAGCTGCACTTATTCAATATTTCACACCTGTAGTCAGCTTGTATTCCTGCTTTAGATGTTAAAAAATACACAGTTCACCTTTGCTTCTATTCTAGAAGTTGAAACTCAGTTGAAGAAATTAGATATTTTTATCAGGTCTTAAAAGTATGTTTGAATGTAAGGTTTGATGTTTAAAATGAAGTGACATGTTCTTCATTCAGGTACTTAAATAGACTAATAACTTCAAAAGGTCAAATCTTGACTAAAATTTAACTAAATTACAAACATTGTTAAATCTAATTAAAATATTAATTGTATTCCTTTGCCTTAATTTTATTGAGTAAAAGTAACATATTTTTTATATTACATATAAAAATAAAATGTTTTGTCTCAAAATGTATGTGATGTCTAATGTTTGTCTATGAGAGAAGCGGGCATTGTAATAGATTCAGTGTGTTCCATTTCTCTAATTGTGTTTTCAGTGTTGCTCTTCAGTGTTCTTTCCATGCTTAGTAGTGTTCAGCCAAAAGCTACTTGTGTTTATTCAATGAATGCTATGTGTGTGTCATGTGAAAATATGGTTGTGTTTGTCAAATGAAAACACGTGTTCCATTTTGTGAACATGTTACGAGATTTGATGGCAGAGTTGTTTTGCAAAGGGAAGCCAGGGTTTAGCAATTTATGTGTGATATTTGGGGTTTTGTGTGTGCAGTTTTGAAAAACGCGTTTTAGCAATAAAAAACTGTAAAGTTTTGCTATTTATGACCTTCCCCTCTGTTCTGACAGCAAGGTAATGTGAAATTGACATCTGTAAAGGAGGAAAATCAGAGTTCTAATATGATAAGGAAATCTTAAGTTAAATTGAGTCAAGCAATTGGGAACAGAAGTAGAGGTTGTGAAAAATGTGCCTCATTTTTGCTTTTTGAGTTTTATCAATCGAAAAAAACTGTAAGATGATAACAGTAAAAGGCCTCTCTCCCAGGAGGACCACCAGGTAAAGCCTCTCCTGACCCTGGACACCTGCAGTCCTACACATAGAAAATTAGAGACCACAGGTGACAAAAAGGCAATAATCAAATTTTTACATTTATCCACATATTCCCCAAACTATTTTTACTTGTTTAGTAAAAACGTGTCAGCTAAGTAAATCCCTGAATGTAAAACTTTACTTTTCACAGCAGAACACACGATGAACGTCTGTGGTCATGTGTAAACATCTTCACTTGTCACCACTAAGCTCAATAAAAATGCTCTGTTGTCCCTAAAACAAATTACAGGAAGCTTAATTTGCTAAAGAATCACACACACACACACACACACACACACACACACGCACGCACGCACGCACGCACGCACGCACGCACGCACACACACACACACACACACACACACACACACATGGGAACAACTACAGGACCCGCGATACAAAGTCGTTCTGGCTGATTTCTGCTTAAAATGTAATTTAGAAAACAAATATACAAACGAAAAATGTCTATAAATAGAACAGCTTTAAGCTTTTTAGTTTTCTACCACTAGTTTTTAAACAAACTTATTTAATTAAAATTTAAAACTTTGCTGCTCTCCTCATTTTCTCTTCCTGTTGAAAATCCACAGCTGGCGCGCAAAGCATGCTGGGATAGCCTTGTTCTGTGAGGATACAACAGACCCATCCTTGGAATGTGGGTGGAGCGAGGGTGCATTTGAGGATGCAAGGATGAGTATTCTTGGAATTCAGACCCTACTCGTCACTGCGCTGTGACGTCATCAACATCAAAATAGGTCCTCACAATCATCCTGCCCCTGGATTCAGACACACCCTATGTCTCTGGGCGACGCCATATTAGATGCCATGTTTCTTTCTACAGGAGCCCATGAGGACAAAATGCATTTACTGATTAGCAACAAATGGTTACAAAACTGTTATCATTCTTAAATGTTATTTTACACATTTACCTCCACTTGTTGCCAGTGATGAAAGGGAGTCTGATATGCTTGTTTTTTTTTTTTTTTTTTTTGCTGAAGTTTTCACTCCCCAGGACTTTTTGACACTAATGGGCATCCGTTGGTAAGGTCGTACTCCAACACAAAAATACTGCTTGCTTGCAATGATTTAGGTATCTACTGCTCCCTATTGCCAGGAAAAATACACACTGTCACTTTAAATGTACTTAAATTAAAGTGACAATGTGCCGTTTTTACCATTAATCTCTGGAAATATCCATCGAAATGTCGTTGTAAATGAATTACAGTTTTTCTCAATTGTTTACACACATTTTCTGGTACTTGAGACACAATTACCACAACATGTAACCAATTCACCAACCCCCTTAAACAATTCTGCTAAACTACAAGCACAATTCCTGCTTTGCATTCAAATTGCAAATCTAAAACACACTTTTCTCAAAACACTACACACAATTCTCTGCTGTTGGCACAATTTTCATGCAGAAATTATCTTGTTTTCACAAGGAACACACTGCTATTCAAATTTGCACACTGACTCATCACAAGGGCAAACACCCGTCACACAGTTTTACAATTAGCAATCAGAGCTTTAGCATAAAAGGGCAAAAGGTGAGCTCTTCTGTGTTGGAGCAATGGATGCCAACATTGGAAACAGGCAGAGCCAGAGGAGTGAGAGTAAGAGGAAGAGGACGGGGAGGACGGGGAGGATGAGGAAGACCAAGGACCGTAATCTCTGATGAGATCCGAGCCACTTTGGTTGATCATGTGGTCAACCATGGTCTTACAATGAGGGAGGCTGGGCAAAGAGTACAGCCAAATTTGAGCTGGTACACTGCAGCATCAGTCATCCGGACCTTCCGAAATGAGAATAGGTAAGAAATCTTCTCTCACTAGAAAATGGCAGTACTGCATATCAATACAATCAGTATTCAATGAGTATAGTGGTAGTATTGCCTGTGGATGGTTTTGTTGGACAGTAAAAATACTGTAACGCATGTTTCCAGTATTTAGGAAATGTATACCTACTTTGTATTCACATTATTTTACTATTTGTTTGGCAGAACTGAAAGACTACCAACACGAGGAGGTTGGGAACGTCTTCTGTCTCCTGAACAGGAAACTGAAATCCTCAACATGGTCCTAGAAAACAATGCCATACCATGACGGCAAACACAAAGAAAAAGTATAGAAGACAACGACATGTTTCAAAATATTGATAGGGTCAGCCTATCAACACTGGACCGTGTCTTGCGCAGAAATCATCTCGGGATGAAGCAGGTCTACAGGGTGCCATTTGAACAAAACTCATAAAGAGTCAAAGAATTGCGATATAACGATGTGCAAGTGAGTCCCGCAATTGATGCATACACTCAACACTGTGTACAGTAAATTATACATGTTTCAATATTGTAATCATAATGATTGTGCTTCACAATAGTGACCACTCCATGTTTATTTCTGATATTGTCATGTGGGTTTCAGAGAGTCCTTGAGCAAGAGGCAGCTGCAGTGGAGCACCAGTTCATCTTCATTGATGAGGTTGGATTCAACCTCACAAAAAGATGAAAGAGGGGAAGGAATATCAGTGGCCAGCATACCATTGTTGAAGTCCCTGGCCAGCGCGGAGGGAACATCACAATGTGTGCAGCGCTTGGCTACCATGGCATTATCCATCACCATGCTACCCTTGGCCCCTACAACTCCACCCATCTGATCACATTCCTGGACACCCTACACAACACACTCATTCCACCAGATCAGATGGCAGCTGATTCATTTCATGGCTGGAATCGCCATGCTAGGAGATATTTCCCCTGCTGCTTGGCCAGGGAAAACATTGTTTGTGATGTGGATGAGGCGCTGTGGCCAGACCACAACAGAAGAGAGGATGCAGCATAGTTTTCTTTTTTACTGTAACTGTATACAGTAAATTATTCTGTTGTATGTAGTGAATGTGTGCAACTTTGTGTTGGTTGGAAATGGGATATACATCGTGTACAATGTTTTGTGGGAAAAAGTAAATAATTTCTACCATGTATTTGTGTGTTCAGAGTGTAAAAACAATATTCTGAAGTAACAACACATGCATGAATATATTGCCTGTAGTAAGTGTAACACTGAACCAAAAAGGCTTTAGTCATTATGATGAATGGAGAAGACGTGTTTTCCATTCATCATAGTGTTTAACACTGAGCACATAAGTGTTCTGCTGGTTCTTATAAATGTCTATTCATATGATGGTTTGTGTGTCATTTGACAACAAAATCACATTGTGAGGAGAAATAACATCATTTTGAATGTGAAGTTTAATTTAGCAGGTTAAGTGAGGGGTTTTGCCCATTGTGTGTGTTTTTTTGGATTTGTGTGTAGAGTTCTGAGAATATGAGACATGCTTTCAGGAAATGTGTGTAAACAATTGAGAAAAACTGTAAAAGACGCCCAGTTGATGAAAAATATTGGCAGTTTCAGAACACATAATCATAGAAATCTGTTCTAAAATACATGGGAGAGTGTCTAAGTCTTTGGGCGACGCCATATTGGATGCCATGTTTTCTTCTACGGTAGCCCATAAGGACAAAATACATTTACTGATTTGCATCCAATGGTTACAAAACTTTCACCATTAATAAACATTGTTTTACACAGTTACCTCTTCACTCGTTGCCAGTAATGAAAGGGAATCTGATGTTCTTGTTATTTTGCTGGAGGTTGTGCTCCCAGGGATTTTTGACCCTAATGGCCATCCGTTGGTAAGGTCTTACTTGAACACAAAGGTAATGCTTGCTTGCAGTGATTTAGGTACGTACTGCCCTCTATCACCAGAGACACTACACACTGTTACTTTAAATAAGTAAATTTAAAAGGTTAAAATGTAGTAATTTTAACTCAAATCCATAGCTGACTGAATTTATCTAATAATATTGATTGTAATCTGTAGCCTTAATTTTATTAAGTTTTTATTGAGTAGAAAGTTTTTTTTACAGTGTACAGTTTAAAATTCAAGCACTTTCAAGCTGAGTTTCAGGGTTTTCTATCTTCTTATTCTGGAGATCTGCACATGCATAAAGAGCACATATATGCTCAAAAATATCAATTGACATCTTTTTTTCTGATAGTATTAAATGTTGTTTGAAAATCAATTGCTAAAAAATTAGGGATGGACAATATATCGGCAATATATTGGCAGCAATATCGGTATCGGCCGATGTTAGTCATATTTTAACATATCGGTTAAAATAAATAAAACTGGGCCGATATTAACAACCGATATTTTTTCCATCTCATCTCCATTTGTTTGGCTGTTTCAGAGGGTGGGGGGTGTGATGTGTAATTGTTTAGTCATGTGAACAGTGAATGTAGTCATCTCAGAACCGTAAATGTGTGTGTTGTGTGTACATAATAACGTGAATTCAGCTTTAATAATTTTCATTCTAAACAAAATCTGCTGATTTTAGAAAAAATAATGTCAGAATATCGGTATCGGCAAATATCAGTTATCGGCCATAACAGTGATCTTAATATCGGATATCGGTATCGGCCCAAAAATTTCATAGCGTTGCATCACAAAAAAAAAATCATGCATTACTATTTTTGTCTCATTTCAGTCTAAAAATGTTTAATGCATGAACACTGAAGTGTGAGAATTAAACACATTTAGCCACGGCAGGATGTAAGACAAAAAAGAGAAATGAGACCGTATTTTTACAATGAAGGTATTGTTTTGTTGAATAAATCTGTAACTTTAAGTGTGTTTGGTCTAAATTTATATCAGGCTATTACCATTTATGTAGAAAAGGGCATTAATTTATTTCCAGGGTGTTGAGGCTGTAGGAAAATGTCCAACACGTACCTGGCATGTGCATGGTGGTGATGGTGGTGGTGGTGATCAGAGTGGTGGTTGTCTCCTCCTCTATGGGGAAAGAGGACATGGGATTCCTCAGTCCTCCCAGGCCAGCAGCAGACGAGGGGTTTAAAGCTGTGGTGAGAAGCCCTGGTGAGATCGCCGTGGCTGCTGACTCAGTCTGCCCGTGTCCAGGCACGGCTTGTGTTGGATTGGTAGTGGTACCTGCAAAGCCTAAAACAAAAGTGCTATTTACCTCCTTATCGATTTATTTAATTTCTGCTTTTATTACACTAAAAACCTTCAGATCAGCAAACAAATTTCAACATCAAACTAAGATAACCTGAATGAATACGAGCAGTTTTCAAATTATAACTGTTTTTATTAAAGGGAAAAATGATCCGAACCAAACCGGCCCTATCTGAAAATGTAAACAACCCTCGTTGTTAAATTATGAATCATCTGGGATATACTACATATTTTGCTAGGGTTAAATCACTCCAGGAGAGCCAGTCTGACAAAATGAAGTTGGCTAAAACATCTTAGAAAGAAACATATCATGCCCCAATCTAAAGAAATTAACAAACAACTCAGAACATCTACAGCTAGACCACATTTGGTTAAAGTTTTTGGAGTTTTTAACACTTTAAGCTAATGCTTTAACCAGTTTCAGTGGTTAATGAGCCATATCCTGAGAATTTTCACTAGGGATGGACAATATATCGGCATTAATATCGGTATCGGTTGATGTTAGTCCTTTTTTAACATATCGGTATTGGTCTGATAAATAAAACTGGGCCAATATTAACAACCAATATTTTTTCCATCTTGTCTCCATTTGTTTATCTGTTTCCGAGGGTGGGGTGGGGGTGTATTTGTTTAGTCATGTGAAAGTGATTGTAATCATCTCAGAAGCATAAATGTGTGTGGTGTGTGTACATAATATGACAAATT